TTGTCATGGCGATGCGGTGACAGGGAGGTGGCTCGCCCCCAGCCGGCGGGAGGCCATCGGGCTCTTTGAAGGAGGGCAAACGAGCAGCTGCTCCCTTTTCCCATCCTGTCCCCGCTCCCAGCGCCGGCCCCGGAAAGCCTCGCTGCATCTGCCGCGGAGCATCTGTCCCCGGAGGCGCGGGAGCAGCTGAGGACGGGGGACGGTGGCTTTTGTCCCCCCACCTCAGGTGATCGGCAAAGGCAGTGAGAAGGCGGAGGACAGCTCCATCGACGAGAAGTACCTGATCGCCACCTCGGAGCAGCCCATCGCCGCGCTCCACCGGGACGAGTGGCTGAAACCGGAGGATCTGCCCATCAAGTACGCGGGATTGTCCACCTGCTTCCGGCAGGAGGTGGGCTCGCACGGCCGCGACACCCGCGGCATCTTCCGCGTCCACCAGTTCGAGAAGGTGAGAGCGGCGGAGGCGGCAGCGTTCCCGCTGGGAATTCGGGGCTGTAGCCGGGGACCGGCGCCAAGGCGGGGTGTCCCATGTCCCCGTCCCCCCTTCCTTCGTTCTCTGCGCAGATCGAGCAGTTCGTCTACGCTTCACCGCACGACAACAAGTCGTGGGAGATGTTTGAGGAGATGATAGCCACCGCCGAGGACTTCTACCAGTCCCTGGGCATCCCCTACCACATCGTCAACATCGTCTCAGGTAGGCGGCACCGTCCGGCATCGGGGACACCTCTCCTTCTGCCGCGGTGGCCCAGGAGGACGCCGGTCACCTCTGCCGGCGCCTCGGGTGTCACCCTTGTGCTGACCCACTTCCTTTGTCCCTGGCTGGCCTTGCCACCGTGTCCGGCCCCAGACCTGGCGAGGGAGAGGAGGTGGCACAGCCCGGGGCACGGAGAAAGGAGCCGTTTGGTTTTCCATGGAGATCCTCCGAGTTGCCCACCAGGACCGGCCGTGGGCACCGCGCCGGGCCGCGATTCTCCCCGCTGTCCCTTCTACAGGGACAGTTTGAATGTCCCAACTCCTCCTGGAAACTCTCCGAGGAAAATTGTCCCGTTTAACGGCTCCATCCCACCCTCCCCACCGCAGAGCAGGAACCCCGCGGTCACCTCGGAGCCTTCCCACCCGTTAGCCCGTGCCCCTGTCCCCGGGGAAGGGGGGAGCGGGACCCCCGCGCTGCTCAGCGTCGTCCCCACGTCCCTCTCCCAGGTTCCCTCAACCACGCCGCCAGTAAGAAGTTGGACCTGGAGGCTTGGTTCCCCGGTTCCGGCGCTTTCCGTGAGCTGGTGTCCTGCTCCAACTGCACCGACTACCAAGCGCGGCGCCTACGCATCCGCTACGGCCAAACCAAGAAGATGAAGGAAA